CATGCTGAAGCCAAAATTAAACACGTCTGCTCAACTTTTTTTTCTCCCTCTGACAAACAAAATTCGCTTTAGGTGAAATTGGTAACTGCCTCCTCGTCCAATTATTTTGTACATTAGAATACACAGAGGCCCTGTTCCCTGTGTTTCACCATGCCTCTAATTAGCTATGCTAATATCCTCTTTATTGGTCCCTGATATTACCCCCACACCTTTCCCCTGTACCGTACTGCCCGGCCACCAGAGCCCGGTGGTCTGTCACACCGGCTGATTATTGAGAAGGATCGCTTTAATCAAACATCATTACAGTTCATTTATCTCCTCTTGCTCTCTATCTAATGCTGTGGACTCCTTGATATGCCATTCAATTACCCTTTAAGTGGCTCTTTGTTCCTGATCACCTTCAACAACACCACAGAGTTAAAAAGGGTAAAAAAAAAAAAGAGACAACTGTTTGGTCGTAATTTCCTTCCGCAGCTCACAGAAGCCCAATTAACACAATAGACCCATGTAGAATTTAAACTACATGGATCCTACTGTTAAGTATATTACAATGGAGCGAATGCAGGACTAACAATTGAATTTATTTTCATCAGATAAGCATCAGGCATTTGGTTAATCAACTTTATAACAGTAAATATAAATGAGTTAAACATTCATGCAGCGGCTGAGCTGACTTTTAATGAGAGGGTCATCTCTCATTTTCTAGTTCTTGTTCTTGTTCTCGCACTCTCTCTCTCTCTCTCTCTCTCTCCCCTCTCTCTCTCTCTCTCTCTCCTCTCTCTCCTTCTCTTCTCTTCTCTCTCTCTCTCTCATCTCTCTTCTCTCTCTCTCCTTGTAGTGACCTGTTTGTTTTTGGTTTTGGGTTACCTTTCCCAGGGCATTGTTTAGCTAGTTCTTCTCTACGAAGACTAACCTAAAAACCAGTATCCCCGACCCAATCAGACGATGGGCCAACTATTTGACACTATTTGAAACAAACAAACCAGCAGCAGTTTTCTCTTCTGTATTCTGTCCTTTGGTGTTTTAATACTTTACTGACCGGAGTTATTGTCAGCTCTACGTACCCTACAGAAAGCGTGTTTTTTTTGTACTGGAAATCTGCCCTTGGGCTGAAAAGGCACCCCATGGGCCCCCGGGTTAAATAGTGGGACCAAAAACAGTCTGGGGGGGGGGAGGGAGGAAGGAGAGGAGAGGGGAGGAGAGGGAAAGGAGAGGGGAAAAGGGGGAAGGGGGGAAGGGGAAAGGGGGGGGGGAAAAGGGGGGGGGGGGGGGGGGGGGCCCCGTTTTTCCGGGGCGGATCAAAAATAAAAAAACAGGGGAAACAATTTTTTTCCCTTTTTTCCCCCCCCCCCTTTTTAACCCTTTTTTTAAGAAAAAAAGGAGGCAAGAAGAAGGGGCGGGGACAAGCCAAAGGGAAATCTACCCCCCCAAAATTAGGGGGGACTTTTTACCCCCCAAAAAAATTTTTCCCCTCCCTTTTTCCCCTCTCTCCTCCCTCTCTTTCCCCCTTTCCTCCCCCCCCCACAAATCCCCCAACCCCCGTCCCTTCCTTCCACCCCCCCCTCCTCTTCTCCCTCTTCCTCCTCCTCCTCCTTTTCCTCCTCCCCCCTTCTCTCCTGATTCCTTTTCCCCCCCCCCACCTCTTTTCCTCTCTTCTTCCTGATTCCCCCCTCTCTCTCCCCCCCCTTTTTCCCCCCGTCTCCTCTTCTCCTCTCTCTCTCCTCCTCCCCCCCCCTCTCCTCCTGATCTCTTCCTCCCCCCTGCTCCCCTCTGGCATGGGGAGACTGGTGTCAGACGGGTGGGGGGAAAATTTTTATAAAGCCGTGGAACGGAGAGGTGCTCAGGGTTAGAGATGCCATTTCACATTGTGATTTATCCTTCTGGCCCAAATCCCCTTTGGAGACCTTAAAGTGGGCGGCTGGAGAGAGAGGGAAAACAAGTCTTTCTTCGTGCATAGAGGCCTTCATATGCCTTCATATTTGCAGAGCGAAATACATTTGTTAACTCAACAAAAATACAATCAGGAGCCTGACCCAAAAGAGAAAAGAGAAACGAACATTTGGCCCAACCCTTTCCCGGTTTTGGGCGTGTTAAAAAATATTCTAAAAATGAAACAATAAATAGTAGTGCACACAACCCCTGGTATAGGATGGAACACATACACAGCCTGGTATAGGATAGGCAAACCCACCTGGGGATGGGAAGGACACATCCCAGCCCGGGATAGGATAGGGCACCCTACCACCTGGTATAGGAAGGACACTACACGCTGGGGATAGGGTAGGACACAACCCCCTTGGGATAGGAAGGAAAAACCCCCCCCTTGTTGGGTGGGCACAACCGGGGTATAGGTAGGAACTACCCAGCCCGGTATAGGATAGGGCACATACCCAGCCTGGTATGGGTAGGACCAACCGCCTGGGGATAGGTAGGACACATCCCCCCCTGGATAGGGGGAACAAACCCCCCTGGTTAGGTAGGGCACATACCCCCCCGGGTGGATAGGAAAAAACCCAGCCGGTATAGGATGGCACTACCCAGCCCGGTAAGGATAGGACCTACCAGCCTGGTATAGGATAGGACACATACCCAGCCTGGTATAGGATAGGACACATACCCAGCCTGGTATAGGATAGGACACATACCCAGCCTGGTATAGGATAGGACACATACCCAGCCTGGTATAGGATAGGACACATACCCAGCCTGGTATAGGATGGACACATACCCAGCCTGGTATAGGATAGGACACATACCCAGCCTGGTATAGGATAGGACACATACCCAGCCTGGGATAGGATAGGACACACTTGGATTACACGGGGGCCCCGTAGAGCATGGCGCTTGCAATGCCAGGGTTGTGGGTTCGATTCCCACGGGGGGCCAGTATGAGAAAAAAACTGTAAGTTGCTCTGGATAAGAGTGTCTTCTAAATGACTAAAATGTAAAAAATGTATATCAGGGCTGGGGTATAACGCTAGCATCACGGCTGGGGTACTGCTCGTCCTAATATTTATATATTTCTTAATACCATTCTTTTACTTTTTAGATTTGTGTGTATTGTTAGATATTACTGCACTGTTGGAGATAGGAACACAAGCATTTCGCTACACCGTGATAACATCTGCTAAATACGACCAATAACATTTGATTTGATTTGACACTAGCATCAGGGCTGGGGTATACTGCTAGCGTCAGGGCTGGGGTATACTGCTAGCATCAGGGATGGGGTATACTGCTAGCGTCAGGGCTGGGGTATACTGCTAGCATCAGGGCTGGGGTATACTGCTAGCATCAGGGCTGGGCTATACTGCTAGCGTCAGGGCTGGGGTATACTGCTAGCGTCAGGGCTGGGGTATACTGCTAGCATCAGGGCTGGGGTATACTGCTAGCATCAGGGCTGGGGTATACTGCTAGCATCAGGGCTGGGCTATACTGCTAGCATCAGGGATGGGGTATACTGCTAGCATCAGGGATGGGGTATACTGCTAGCGTCAGGGCTGGGGTATACTGCTAGCATCAGGGCTGGGGTATACTGCTAGCATCAGGGCTGGGGTATACTGCTAGCGTCAGGGCTGGGGTATACTGCTAGCGTCAGGGCTGGGGTATACTGCTAGCGTCAGGGCTGGGGTATACTGCTAGCGTCAGGGCTGGGGTATACTGCTAGCATCAGGGATGGGGTATACTGCTAGCGTCAGGGCTGGGGTATACTGCTAGCTTCAGGGCTGGGGTATACTGCTAGCGTCAGGGCTGGGGTATACTGCTAGCATCAGGGCTGGGGTATACTGCTAGCATCAGGGATGGGGTATACTGCTAGCATCAGGGATGGGGTATACTGCTAGCGTCAGGGCTGGGGTATACTGCTAGCGTCAGGGCTGGGGTATACTACTAGACTAGCAGTGTTAAATATTGAACTTGAAAGACAGTAAGCCTTACCTTTCAACTGTCTCGGAGCTAAGCCCCCATATCTCACCGCATCTAGCTGGGGTCCATTTTAAACAGCGTCCCATAATGAGGCTTTACTGGAGAAGAAGAGAACAGGAAGGAAGAGAGAAGAGAAAACAGACAGGAAGAGATATCTGGATGTCTGGGAGGCGCTGATTAATTTGGTCCTTACATGGGAAAGTTGTCAGTTTAAGAGCAAAGGTGAGCGTGTTTAAAGGGTGAAGACAGAGGGATGAAAGTAAGATCACAGGAAGTTGATTAGAGCTATTAGAAGTACAGGTGAGTAAGAGATCGGAGCGAGAGGGAGCAGGTAGAGGAGAGGAGCGGTAGTGATTTGCGTAGGTAGGAGAAGGGAGAGCTCTTTAGTTTCTTGAGCGCTTTGTTAATCTTGCGTGCTCTATTACTTCTCTTCTTGCTTCTTCTTCTCTATTCTTCTCTTCTCTTCTCTTCTCTTCTCTTCTCTTCTCTTCTCTTCTCTTCTCTTTCTCGTGAATCTCTCAGACATTTGTTCAGAAGATTAGCCAGGTTGTAATTTGGTCCATATTTATCCTGTGAGGATGTCCCTAAAGCGGGGGGAACTTAATCACTTAACAGGACTTTAAGTTTGTGACTGGCTGCCGTATGCACTATCCCTCCCCCCTGCTCTGCTCTGGCCCTGGCATGCCTGCTCTGCTCTGGCCCTGGCATGGCATGCCCTGCTCTGCTCTGGCCCTGCTGCTGCTCGTAGTAGTGAAGAGTTGTTAAAAAAGGATCAGAGATTAGCGCTAAGCATTGTTATTATTGGTCTGATTATATTCTGACTGGAGACTTTTCTATAGATGTGGCTTAGAATCATGTTGTGATGTGTATTTACTGTAAGGAGTTATATTTAAAGGTATGAGACGTGTTATGTTCTTTATTGGTGTGTGTATGTGTGTGTGTGTGAGAGAGAGAGTTGTGATTATGCTGGAATTCTCCAGTGTCTCTTTATTAAATGAATCCCAGATGACTTTGTGTCTATCTGTTTTAAAAGGGATTGAGTCTAATGTGAGGTCTCTTTCTTTTACTCTTTCAGATTCTTCTTGAAATTCTTCCTCAAGTGCAATCAGAACTGCTTGAAGAATGCAGGAAACCCACGAGACATGCGCAGATTCCAGGTAACTAACACAAAAACACATTCAGACATTTCCTCCTATCTGACCTCCTCATGTATGAATATTCTCTCTCTCTCTCTCTCTCTCTCTCTCTCTCTCTCTAATTTTCTAGGACAACATTCACACTGTTTAAAACTAGATTTACAGCACATAGCAGCTTGTGATAATCTGCCACAATAAAAAAGATACAGGCCTCTGTATCTTTCAGGTTATATATTGTAGTTCTACAGTATATAGATGTATCTAAGAGCAAGTGGATCTCCTTGAAAATAACACACAGCTTGGCAGGTCATTTTTCATGCTGTGTCCGGTGCAAGTGGCACTGCTAATATTGATCCATGAGCGGAGAGCAGAAGGTCAAACACAGAGTGACTGGTAGTCTCCTCTCTGTCTCCATGGTCACTAAACCCAGAGTGACTGGTAGTCTCCTCTCTGTCTCCATGGTCACTAAACCCAGAGTGACTGGTAGTCTCCTCTCTGTCTCCATGACCACTAAACCCAGAGTGACTGGTAGTCTCCTCTCTGTCTCCCGACCACAAACCCCGAGTGACTGGAAGTCTCCTTTTCGTTCCACGGTCACTAAAAACCCCGGTGGGCTGGGTCTCCTCTCTGCTCCACGGTCACTAAAACCCGAGGATGGTAGTTCCTCTCCCCGTCTCCATGACCACCCAAACCCAAAAGGACTGGTTTGTCCTCTCTGTCTCCAGGGCCCCCTAAAACCCCGAGTGACTGGTAGGTTTTTCTTTGTCCCCAAGACCAATAAACCCCGAGGGGGGTGGTTTGTCTTCTCTTTCTCCATGACCAATAAACCCAGAGGGAAGGTAGTCTTCTCCGTCCCATGGCCTAAAAACCCCGAGTGATGGTGTGCCCCTCTGTCTCCATGGGCACTAAACCCAAAAGGACTGGGAGGGGCTCCTATCTCCCCCCTGGGCATAAACCCAGAAAGGAAATGGTAGTTCCTTTTCTTTTTTCTCCCTGGTCACTAAAACCCCGAGTGAATGGTAGTCTCCTCTCGGTTTCCCTGACCATAGAAGAAGTCCCTCACCGCCCGGGTCTCGGCTCAAAAAATAGAAAAACCCGTAAAGGGGACGGGATGGAGGGGGGGAGAGGACCTTTTCCTTCCCTTGTCCGTGGGCTCCAGGGTCTCACTCTAACTAATTTCCCCGTCTCCCTCAAGGTTTAAGTGGACTTAACAGCATGTCAGGGCCCTCAGCACCATTTCCACCAAGTTTCAGCTAAAAAACTTAGGAGATTTTTCTGTGGGTGGTTTTGGGGTTTTCCGAGCGGGGGAGAGAGAGAGGAGAGAGGGAAAAACCAGGAGAGAGACGAAGGGGGGAAGTGTGAACTGCCATTCAAACCAAAAGGAAAGGGGAGTTACTTTTTTCATCCCAAAAACTCGTTCTCCTTAAAAAAAAAAAGGGGGGGGGGGGTTTTTTTTTGGGGGGAAAGGTTTCCCAAAACGGAAACTCTCCCCTTCCCCTCTCTCTCTTCTATCTCCCTTCTTTTCCCCCCCCCTTTTTTTTCTCTCTTCTCCTCTTCTTTTCCCTTTTCCTGACAGTCCCCAGAAAAAAGCGTGAGATGGACAGTCCAGTACACAATTTTTTTTGTACTTTTAAATTTTGAAAATAATGCCTTTAAGGGGGGAGCTAAAGGGTCGCCCCCGGGCATTTTAAAAAAAAGAATACAAGGAACTTTACTATTCCCCATAATTCAAAAAAAATGAAAAAAAGCCCCCAAAAAGCCCAGAAAAAAAATCCCGTCTTTCCCCCTTTTTAATGGTCGAGTTTAAGAAACCTCTCTTGGGCCCCGGGTTAAACGTTTTCCCCCAAGCGGGTTTAAAAGGGTTTTTTCCCGAAAGTTTTTTCAAAGAGGCTTCCCACCCTGGTGTTTCCCTTTGGCAAAGGGCGAAACTTCCGAAAGCCTCCTTTCCCCCCTTACTTCCAAAAGCTGCGTTCCCAAAAGGGGCCCATTCCCCCACCCTAGTGCCCTAATTTTACCCCCGGGGGCCTATGCACTATGTAGGGAAAGGCCCCCATTTTTTGGGGGCTTGCTACCCACGGCCCCCAGCGGGAAAAACCCGGGGGGGGGAGCTCTATCCCTCATTCCCTCCACGGCCCCCGGGTCGAACCTTTGGCACAAGAATGGAGCCCTTTCACTCCTAAAAAAAACAGAGAGAAAAAAGAGGGGAGGCGAATTCCATTGGGCATACCGGGTCAACACCAAACCCGAAGAACCTGAGAGGAGAGGAGAGAGGGGGAGGAAAAGAAAAGAGGGAGAAGATTTTTCCCCAGAAAGAAAGAAGGGGACGGAAAGGGGAAGAGAGAGAGAGGGAGGGAAGAGGGACAGAGAGGAGAAGAGGGAAGAGAGAAAGAAGAGGGGATGAGCCAAAAGAGGCAGAGAGAAGAAAACAGAGAAGGAAGAGAGAGGAGAGGAAAAAGAGAGAGAGGGAAGAGGGGGCCGGGGGGAGCGAGGGAAGAGAGAGAACGGAGAGGGGGGAGAGAGGAGAGGGGAGAGAGAGAGAGAGAGAGGAGCGCTCTGAGTGAAAACACTTCACCCATTCATTCAGGGGCCTATCCAATCCCTTCCAACCCTCCATTCACATGCTAAAACCCTCATTATCAGACGTTAAATGCATCTGTATAATTAGGATTGTTTACTAAATAGAAAAGGGAGAAGGAGGTGTGGTTGATTCTTTCAGGAGGTTTAGGCCATCCTATCAGTCAGACATCCTCCCATCCATCCCTCTAGACATCTCAAACTGCCTCTCTTAAGCTGTCACCCAAAGGGCACCGTATTCCCTATATAGTGCACTACTTTAGGGTAGACCACACTATGACAGAGGCTGCCGGACTAATGAGATGAAACAGCTGATCAATGTTAATATCAACAGATCAATGTGAATGGTGACTGTTAGAGTGAAGAAGAGGCAGGGGTGGTGAGGCGGGTGTCTGAGAGACTGTTAACGGGCAGATGGACAACTGGACGGAGTCCCTTTCCATGTGTATCTCCTTAAGTGACAGAGGAACTGTAGCTAAAGCCTAGAAGAACCCGCCTCCCGGCTTGAAGAGAGAAAATGAATAAAAAGACAGTGCTCTCATTCGTTCAACGTGGAGAGTGGAGGAGGGTGGGAGAGAGATGAGTGGCAGGTATTGCTCACACACCACTCCAAATGAGAAAAAAATATATTTTATCGGCGTGTTCACACTTGTAAATGCAGTGTCTTATTTTGACAAAACAGCCCTCACTGTCATAGCAAAGGCTAATGAAGTGCTTGAAGCAAAACTGGATGTGCTTTTTTTGTTGGTCTATTTGGAGAGGAGACGTCCACACTTACATATGAAGAGAGAAGAAATACAACTAGAATGTTTATGATGTGTTTTAAAGAGGCCTCTCACTATCATTTCCTGTCGAACTACAGACCTCCACTTTCTTTTTGCTCTATTTCAAGAGAAGAGCCGTCCACACTAATGATGAAGATAAAATAAAGATAGCTGTAATGTTTTTAATATGCTTTAGTTTAGTCTTTTTAAAGATAGCTGTAATGTTTTCAATGTGCCTTAGTTTAGCATTTTTAAAGATAGCTGTAATGTTTTCAATGTGCCTTAGTTTAGTCTTTTTAAAGATAGCTGTAATGTTTTTAATATGCTTTAGTTTAGTCTTTTTAAAGATAGCTATAACGTTTTTAATGTGCTTTAGTTTAGATAATTTTTAAAGATAGCTATAATGTTTTTAATGTGCTTTAGTTCAGAATATTTTTTAAAGATAGCTATAATGTTTTTAATGTGCTTTAGTTCAGAGTTTAAAAAAAAGATAGCTATAATGTTTTTAATGTGCTTTAGTTTAGTGTATTTTTAAAGATAGTAATAATGTTTTTAATGTGCTTTAGTTTAGTATTTTTAAGATAGCTATAATGTTTATAATGTGCTAGAGTTTAAAGTATTTTTTAAGATAGCTATATGTTTTTAATGTGCGTTAGTTTATATAGGCTTTTACACTCTGAGAGTAGATGCCCACACATATGAAGTATAATGTAACCAGGTTTTTACTCATAGACAGTTCTGCTTCAGGGAAGAATGTAAACATGTATACTGTAAGTACTCAGCTACAGCCAGGACATTAATGGTGTGAGCAGCGAGCCACCACGCTGGGTGGAAGTAGTTACAACAGCTCTTATTTTGTTTAGCTACTCAAGGTATGAAGACAGACTCCTTCCTCTGATTGGTGTGACATAATGTATTGTCTTTAATACCATTACACCCACAGGGACATGTACCCACCACGAAACTAAAGAAGACAGAGAGAGAGAGAGAGAAACAGCTGCTTTTTTCCATTTCTTAGCAACAGAAACAATGGAGGCTGGACTTCAGGACCTCGTACTTTGCATTAAATGTGTTTTTTCCTTTATTGTTCAGAAGTTGTGAAGTGGTTTGTTCTCTGCCCTCTGCAGAGGACAGTAGAGTACAGTCGTGGTCAAAAGTTTTGAGAATGACACAAGTATTGGTCTTCACAAAGTTTGCTGCTTCAGTGTTATGAGATATTTTTGTCAGATGTTACTATGGTATACTGAAGTATAATTACAAGCATTCCATAAGTGTCAAAGCCTTTTATTGACAATTACATTAAGTTTATGCAAAGAGTCAATATTTGCAGTGTTGACCCTTCTTTTTCAAGACCTCTGATGGCAGCCTATTCTTGCATAAGTTTGTCAGAATTTGTGGGTTTTTGTTTGTCCACCCGCCTCTTGAGGATTGACCACAAGTTCTCAATGGGATTAAGGTCTGTGGAGTTTCCTGGCCATGGACCCAGAATTTCGATGTTTTGTTCCCCGAGCCACTTAGTTATCACTTTTGCCTTATGGCAAGGTGCTCCATCATGCTGGAAAAGGCATTGTTCATCACCAAACTGTTCTTGGATGGTTGGGAGAAGTTGCTCTCAGAGGATGTGTTGGTACCATTCTTTATTCATGGCTGTGTTCTTAGGCAAAATTGTGAGTGAGCCCACTCCCTTGGCTGAGAACCAACCCCACACATGAATGGTCTCAGCATGCTTTACTGTTGGCATGACACAGGACTGATGGTAGCGCTCACCTTGTCTTCTCTGGACAAGCTTTTTTCCAGATGCCACAAACAATCGGAAAGGGGATTCATCAGAGAAAATTACTTTACCCCAGTCCTCAGCAGTCCAATCCCTGTACCTTTTGCAGAATATCAGTCTGTCCCTGATGTTTTTCCTGGAGAGAAGTGGCTTCCTCGCTGCCCTTCTTGACACCAGGCCATCCTCCAAAAGTATTTGCCTCACTGTGTGTGCAGATGCACTCACACCTGCCTGCTGCCATTCCTGAGCAAGCTCTGCACCTTGTGGTGCCCCGATCCAGCAGCTTAATCAACTTTAGGAGACGGTCCTGGCGCTTGCTGGACTTTCTTGGGCGCCCTGAAGCCTTCTTCACAACAATTGAACCTCTCTCCTTGAAGTTCTTGATGATCCGATAAATGGTTGATTTAGGTGCAATCTTAATAGCAGCAATATCCTTGCCTGTGAAGCCCTTTTTGTGCAAAGCAATGATGACGGCACATGTTTCCTTGCAGGTAACCATGGTTAACAGAGGAAGAACAATGATTTCAAGCACCACCCTCATTTTAAAGCTTCCACTCTGTTATTCTAACTCAATCAGCATGACAGAGTGATCTCCAGCCTTGTCCTCGTCAACACTCTCACCTGTGTTAACGAGAGAATCACTGACATGATGTCAGCTGGTCCTTTTGTGGCAGGGCTGAAATGCAGTGGAAATGTTTTTTGGGGATTAAGTTCATTTTCATGGAAAATAGGGACTTTGTCAATTAATTGCAATTCATCTGATCACTCTTCATAACATTCTGGAGTATATGCAAATTGGCATCATAAAAACTGAGTACAGTGGCTGAGGTGTCTTTCTAAGGCCCCTGGGTGATCCCCTGTCCAACTTGTGTATCTTACCGTAGACAACCAATGGGGATAGTCTAATATTAACATGTTAAACAGACAAGAGAAGATGTAACAGTGTGTTCTATTTAAATGTGGCACTCGTGAACTGCAATATGTTTTAAAACTAAAGTTAACATTTCTTACCGGGGACAGGTCAAGGACAGGTCCAGGTAGTCCCTGACTGTTTCAGTCAATTTTCTTACATTTGCCAGTGTCACGAACACAACCCTGTATTTTACTGTAGACCTGAGAAAGGCCTTCCTCCCATGGCTGTCTCATGAACACAACCCTGTATATTACTGTAGACCTGAGAAAGGCCTTCCTCCCATGGCTGTCTCATGAACACAACCCTGTATATTACTGTAGACCTGAGAAAGGCCCTCCTCCCATGGCTGTCTCATGAACACAACCCTGTATATTCCTGTAGACCTAAGAAAGGCCTTCCTCCCATGGCTTTGTTGTGGTGGCTCAGATATTCCTGTTGCTACTGGAAAGTGGTATAGCATGCAGTGTTAAAATACAAAGACTCAAAACACCATCATGGTGTAATGAAACCATGAAAAGTAGTGCAGCTACATTAAGCTGAGGCCTGGTGTTTGGAGAGTGTTTTGAATGGAAACCCATGTGTTTCAAAACTCCGGCAAAGTTAAAGGGTTTAATCTCCTTCAAGTTGGTGGCAGCTCAGTTGCCGCTAGTTTTAGTGTTACAAAAGCACTTCATTTTAATAGTGTGGCATGGCCAACATGACCTGGCTCTGACACAGATACATAGACAGACTGTTTTAATGACTGGCTCCCCCTTTCACTCCTGTTGCAGGTTGTTGTATCAACAACGGTCAACGTGGACGGTCACGTCCTGGCTGTCTCGGACAACATGTTTGTCCACAACAACTCCAAGCACGGCAGAAGGGCTCGACGTCTAGACCCTTCTGAAGGTACGGACTCTCCTTATCTTCATTATGGTAGGCACATTCTACATGACTTTTTATTTTTTGAAAATGACTCTCTAGTTTCCCTGTGAGCACAAGACGTTGAACAGATGTTGAAAATACATATTTTCAATGTCGTGTGCTCGCGGGTTAGTTCTTTAGTTCCCTATCTTTTTCCTCAGGTAGCTTCTCATCTTTCAGTGGTAGATTTCATAAACACATGTATATAATAATAATAATTATTATTATTGTTATTGCACTGTGTGCAATATGTGCTGTGTCTATTCAGATATGTATTGATAGGGCTCTTGCTCAATGGCTTCTAAAATAAACCTCAAAACTGCAATTGATTTGTGGTGAGGTCTGGTTGCTGTTACTGGGTTCTGTGAGGTCTGGTTGCTGTTACTGGGTTCTGTAGGGTGAGGTCTGGTTGCTGTTACTGGGTTCTGTAGCGTGAGGTCTGGTTGCTGTTACTGGGTTCTGTAGCGTGAGGTCTGGTTGCTGTTACTGGGTTCTGTAGCGTGAGGTCTGGTTGCTGTTACTGGGTTCTGTAGCGTGAGGTCTGGTTGCTGTTACTGGGTTCTGTAGCATGAGGTCAGGTTGCTGTTACTGGGTTCTGTAGCGTGAGGTCTGGTTGCTGTTACTGGGTTCTGTAGCGTGAGGTCTGGTTGCTGTTACTGGGTTCTGTAGTGTCAGGTCAGGTTGCTGTTACTGGGTTCTGTAGGGTGAGGTCTGGTTGCTGTTACTGGGTTCTGTAGCGTGAGGTCTGGTTAATGTTACTGGGTTCTGTAGGGTGAGGTATGGTTGCTGTTACTGGGTTCTGTAGCATGAGGTCTGGTTGCTGTTACTGGGTTCTGTAGGTGAGGTCTGGTTGCTGTTCTAGGGTTCTGTAGGGTGAGGTCTGGTTGCTGTTACTGGGTTCTGTAGTGTGGGTCTGGTTGCTGTTACTGGGTTCTGTGAGGTCTGGTTGCTTACGGGTTCTGTAGGGTGAGGTCTGGTTGCTGTTACTGGGTTCTGTAGCGTGAGGTCTGGTTGCTGTTACTGGGTTCTGTAGCGTGAGGTCTGGTTGCTGTTACTGGGTTCTGTAGCATGAGGTCTGGTTGCTGTTACTGGGTTCTGTAGCGTGAGGTCTGGTTGCTGTTACGGGGTTCTGTAGGGTGAGGTCTGGTTGCTGTTACTGGGTTCTGTAGCGTGAGGTCTGGTTGCTGTTACTGGGTTCTGTAGGGTGAGGTCTGGTTGCTGTTACTGGGTTCTGTAGTGTGAGGTCTGGTTGCTGTTACTGGGTTCTGTAGTGTGAGGTCTGGTTGCTGTTACTGGGTTCTGTAGCGTGAGGTCTGGTTGCTGTTACTGGGTTCTGTAGCGTGAGGTCTGGTTGCTGTTACTGGGTTCTGTGAGGTCTGGTTGCTGTTACTGGGTTCTGTGAGGTCTGGTTGCTGTTACTGGGTTCTGTACTGTGAGGTCTGGTTGCTGTTACTGGGTTCTGTAGCGTGAGGTCTGGTTGCTGTTACTGGGTTCTGTAGCGTGAGGTCTGGTTGCTGTTACTGGGTTCTGTAGGGTGAGGTCTGGTTGCTGTTACTGGGTTCTGTAGCGTGAGGTCTGGTTGCTGTTACTGGGTTCTGTGAGGTCTGGTTGCTGTTACTGGGTTCTGTTGAGGTCTGGTTGCTGTTACTGGGTTCTGTAGGGTGAGGTCTGGTTGCTGTTACTGGGTTCTGTAGGGTCAGGTCTGGTTGCTGTTACTGGGTTCTGTAGGGTGAGGTCTGGTTGCTGTTACTGGGTTCTGTAGCGTGAGGTCTGGTTGCTGTTACTGGGTTCTGTAGGGTGAGGTCTGGTTGCTGTTACTGGGTTCTGTAGGGTGAGGTCTGGTTGCTGTTACTGGGTTCTGTAGGGTGAGGTCTGGTTGCTGTTACTGGGTTCTGTAGTGTGAGGTCTGGTTGCTGTTACTGGGTTCTGTAGGGTGAGGTCTGGTTGCTGTTACTGGGTTCTGTAGCGTGAGGTCTGGTTGCTGTTACTGGGTTCTGTAGGGTGAGGTCTGGTTGCTGTTACTGGGTTCTGTAGCGTGAGGTCTGGTTGCTGTTACTGGGTTCTGTAGCGTGAGGTCTGGTTGCTGTTACTGGGTTCTGTAGCGTGAGGTCTGGTTGCTGTTACTGGGTTCAGTAGCGTGAGGTCTGGTTGCTGTTACTGGGTTCTGTAGTGTGAGGTCTGGTTGCTGTTACTGGGTTCTGTAGATCCTTATAAAAGCACTACTGTAGTGTAGTACTTCTCAATGAGAAAAGCAGCACAGCTGACTCCAGATCAGAAGATTGACTGGTTGCTCTGCGGAAAAAGGGAAAAAGAGAGAAAACTTGGAGCAGCAAAATCTGTGAAATATAAATACAGGAAGGACAGAGTTCAACCTTCTACCTTCCTGTTGGACTCAGTTCAGTTCAAACACTCTGAAATATGTGACCCTGCCAAAGTATATTAGCTAGTTATCACTGGCAAGTACAAGTGGCTTGTATGTATAATATTGTGTTACCCAAACCTTTAATAACATAACATGAGTGATTTCATCTTAATTAGGCATTCATTATCACACCACTATCAAAACACTAATGTTTTAATAATGCAACAGGAAAGGAAAAGCAAAGGCGTTGTATCAATTAAATGCACTATATCAATCCCCAAAACTCTGCAGGGGAAGGAAAGACACAGCTATTGTTGTTTTTGGGGTTCTTTACTAATGACAAAACGGGCAGAGAGAGGCGATCTAATAATTGATGGTTAGCCCTAAGCTGTGAAGTCGTTACGGCCCGTGACGTATTGTTTGTCTCTCTCTCTCTCTCTCTCTGTATCCACGGGGATAGAATGGGGGTGTTTCGCTTAGCAACCAGCTTTAATTAGGGGAGCAATTATAGAGGTTGAGCCCCACCCTCCCCCCTCTACCGCGGGTCTCCCCCCTGTCTGAGGGGGTCCCGCGGGACAGGGGAACTGGCGTCTGCACAGCCTACTCGACCCAACCCCAACAACTCGCTCAACCCAACCCAACAACCACTGAAGCAATTCGTCTTCAAAAGCCCAATCTGCAGCAGAGATCCTGTCCTTATGAATCTATGTTTGTAGTGGTGGTGTTCAGATGATCAATCTCCTAATCTGGAGTGTATCTCCTCCATCTTCCCTTTTATTAAGTGAAGACCACAAAGATCTATAAAGTGTGTATCGATTGTGTTAGAGGGCAGAGGTCAGCCGTTGCTGGATAGAATTATACATTTAGTGAAGAAACAATTCTAAGATTTAAAGGAAGAAGTGTTAAACACCAGCTTCAAATTTTTTGGTTGAAAGTAATTTACATTTTAAAAATGGAAACAGCGCACCTTCTACATTTTACATTTTTGTCATTTAGCATACGCTCCTATCCAAAGCGATTTACTGTAGTGAGTGCATACATTTTTTCATACTTTTTTCGTACTAGTACCCCATGGGAATCGAGACCACAACCCTGGCGTTGCAAAGCTCGACCAACTGAGCCACAAGGGACCTCTAAAACTCTAAAACACAGTCTCATATCACAGAGTCAAATCTCAGACTACTGCTGTTTTATTGTCTACCCATCTTAGAGAGAGAGAGAGAGAGAGAGAGAGAGAGAGAGAGAGAGAGAGAGAGAGAGAGAGAGAGAGAGAGAGAGAGAGAGAGAGAGAGAGAGAGAGAGAGAGAGAGAGAGAGAGAGAGGGATCTTACACAATACACCAGCGTGATCAGCAGCAGGATAAACAGTCATAAGGTATAATCCAAGTCCAGACACCAGCTAGCAGTGTGTATGCTTTAGATTGGCTACACAGTCTGTACAGGGATAAGTGCCCATTGACAAAATATATATACTCTGTTTATCTGCAATTCTTCCTCACTACTAAAACCTATTATCTACATTTCGGCTAAATATAATATATTCCCTCCTCTCACTCTAACAGGCCCTTACTCTCTCACCTCCACGTGTTCCTCCGTTCATAATGAGCCTGTAGTCTTCAGTAGTGTGTGTACAGAGCGCCTCAGCCATCCTCCCCTGCCTCTACGCTCTACTGTGTGTGCTGTACTCAGGCGACCCGGCTCTCCTCGAGGCCCGCAGCGTGGATCTGATTTGCATGCCAAGTGGCTGTAACGCTGTTAGGTCTGATGCAATAAAGACAAGCGGATCCAGGCTGCAAGGCTTTAGCCAGTAAAGAGGAGCAGATGGCCCTGGGAGAGGCAAAAAGGTATAATCCCATCAGCAGCGGTATCAACCTGACCATCTGGAGCGCACCAACACAATTACAAGACATTTTAGCAGGCAGAACAAAGGAAGTCCTCAGTACGTACAGCACAGCAGGCAAGATGAGACCTGTTGGAGTGTCTCAATACTGGAGGGATGAGGAGGAAGGTGGCTAATGTGTGTTCCCAATGACACCCTATTTCATACGAAGGGCACTACTACCCATAGGTCCTGGTCAAAAGTAGGGCACTACATAGGGGGGAAAAGGGTGGCATTTAGGATGCTGCCTAACACAGTGCCATGTTGCCTTCGCAGAGAGGAGCGCTGATTAGAGCTTCACACTGCGAGGCAGGCGCTGAACGCAGACAGAAGAACGAACCAACGCCTTTGTTCAGTAAACAAGACACAGGGGGACGTGGGGAGGTGAAATGGGAGGCCGGGTAGGTAGTGGGTAGTCCGAACCAGACACAGGGGGACGTGGGGAGGTGAGCCAGGAGGCTGGGTAGGTAGTGGTTATGGGTAGTGGGTAGTGGTTATGGGGAGTGGGTAGAGGGTAGTGAGTAGTGGGAAGTGGGTAGTCTGTACCAGATCTATCTCCCGGATCTCTCTCTCTTTCTCTCTTGGCTCCTCGTTGACTGTCCACTTCAAGCACATAAAAGGTTGGCCCAACAAAGCCAGCGATTCGTCGGAGTGTGACAAGTGATATTGAGATAAGAGGCACATGCAGCCGCCAAACGGCTTCCAGAAGCATTGCCATGATGAGAAAAATCCCCAGAGAGCTTGCAAGCAGGGAGTTAGTCGTTAGTTAGTCGTTAGATAGTCATTAGTTAGTCGTTAGCTATTGAATAATACAATAAAATAGCCCACAACTGAGATAAAAATGGAGAGGAAAAATTAGATAAATATTGTCAAATATATGATATACTAAATATAGGTCCTTTATGATTTTTTTATAATATTAACAAAAATTATAAAACAATCAGCCTAATTAGAATAATGCTAAGTTGTATCTAGCCTGGTATTCCTGTATGTTGGGTGAACTTGGCTTCAGAACAGCCTACCTAGCCTGGTATTCCTGTATGTTGGGTAAACTTGGCTTCAGAACAGCCTACCTAGCCTGGTATTCCTGTATGTTGGGTGAACAGCCTACCTAGCCTGGTATTCCTGTAAGTTGGGTGAACAGCCTACCTAGCCTGGTATTCCTGTAAATTGGGTGAACAGCCTACCTAGCCTGGTATTCCTGTAAGTTGGGTGAACAGCCTACCTAGCCTGGTATCCTTAATTGTAACACTACTATGTACTATGGGTGAAAACAGCCTACACCAGACTGGTCCTGCTCCAGCCCGTCCGTCTCTCCTTCTCTCTCTCGCTGGCTGCGTACGTCTGCTCTCTCCAATTTCCATCATCTGCTTGAGAGCATTGTGCACGTATATCATTAGATGGCTAACGCTGTCTGTGTAATTTGGTTCGCCGTGCTCCCTATTGAACACATGTCCCCCCCCCCCCTCTATATGTGCATTGTAGATGTATGCTAATCACGGGCAGAATGGAGATGGCTCATGCGCTGCTCAGACGTGGCTCGGTTTGGAGCAGCCCCGGCCCCCCAGCCTCGGCCCCCGTCTCCACGCTAGGTACCAACGGGGGAAGCGTTGCGAATTTCGAGTTGGTGTGTGTATGTGTGGCTGTCTGAGGCCCCAGCTGCCAGCCGGCCCCTCCTGTGCCTCTGCTCTGCCCAGTTCACCCCCCCCCCCCCCCCCCCCCCCATCCCACCCAGCCTCTTCTCCCTAACCGCCCCCCGTCCTTCACCCCCCCCCCCCCCCCCCCCCCCCCCACCTGCCGCCCTTCACCCCCCCCCAACAACCCCCCACCACATCCCACCCTTCCTTCCTTCAATCCTTCCTTCTGTCCCTCCCTCCCTCCCTACCTCCCTCTCACCTACACAAAGTAAATTTGTTTACTGTAATTTTTGGTGAATTATTTGCTATAATTGGCAGCGCTGATGAAGGTCAGTCCCTTTGAGGAGTCTTGTCTGTCTTTAGAGATTTGATGCTTTTTCAAACGCTCCTGCCCGCAATTAAGAAAAGCAAATGTCACTCGCAAGCCTCAGAAATGAAAATTTGTATGAACTTATTAGCATGGAGTCAACAGTGCCAGTTAAGGGCAGGGCTCCCTCCCTCCCTCCCGTAGCGGTGTCTGTGTGTGTGTGTGTGTGTGTGCTCATGGGCCCTCTGCTACACAGGGAGATGCCCGTGGAATGAGCAAATACAACCTCGGCTAGTCCAACATTAAAGCAAACAAAGACCTGGAGCCTTGTCTGGAGTGTTCAACACAACAATACCTAATGGTGATTAACCTGGCTGGCTGACAGAGAGATAGCTGAGGGAAAGAGCGGGGAAATGAATGCATGATGGGCAATGATTATATAGCCACATTATTGATCATATGTAGGTCTTATAATTATAACACATTATTATTTTATGATTATTTTATCATTTCTATTTTATTACCAGAAACAGTTACATTTTATCACAATTTTTTTTTTTTACATACAGTATTTTTTTTTAGCGCCGGTTTTGTATAAACTGAATTACAATGATAGAAACAATGCCGTCACAGTGGTACAGTATGGTAGCCAGTTTAAACTCAGACACCTCAGGTACAACAACCCCAATTACACTAAAAGGTTCTACCGATTGCAAAAACATCCTTTTGTGAATTATTTACGAGGCTTTGTGGCTTTTACAGTTAAAGGCACTGTTCCGTTGTCTCTCCTTCTAGCCAACAACAATAAGAGAGATGGACTGAAAACCCACAGGAGAAAAAAAAAAATGAAAGAGCAGTTAATGCAGAGGGTGGAGGAGCGGGAGTGAGAGTGAAGGAAATCCATAACTGTTAGTCACCTCCCTCCCACTGAACATTTTAGCATCAGGAAATAGAGCAGGAGAACTGAGCTTTTTAATGGCCGAAGTGTACATCTTTAGAATCTAGTCTCTTTGTACCAGAATCTGCATTCAGAAAAACCTCATCAAAGCGGGCCAGAGGAAGTCTGGGTGTAGAAGAAGGTGTGGTAAAAGAGAGAGAGAGGGAACATTCAAATGGAGGGCTGGTAACGGCCCTCCGTCCCTGACTGGTCGACTCAGTGAGGGCTGCTGGTGGTCCGGAGCCTCAGTGAGGGCTGCTGGTGGTCCGGAGCTTGCTAGCACTCCTGTAAAGTCACGGGTTCTGCCGCTCTAGAACGCTCTCGCTGACCATCTCCAACAGGCTGCAACACATGCCCTTTTCATTTCATCTTGTTAATCTTGTGAAATCTCAAAATGAAAAAAATAAAAGTTGTTATTACTGAATGGTAAGGGTGTGTCCCTTGTTGTTATTACTGAATGGTAAGGGTGTGTCCCTTGTTGTCATTATGAATGTAGGGTGGGGTCCCTTGTTGTCATTACTGAATGGTAAGGGTGTGTCCCTTGTTGTTATTACTGAATGGTAAGGGTGTGTCCCTTGTTGTTATTACTGAATGGTAAGGGTGTGTCCCTTGTTGTTATTACTGAATGGTAAGGGTGTGTCCCTTGTTGTTATTACTGAATGGTAAGGGTGTGTCCCTTGTTGTTATTACTGAATGGTAAGGGTGTGTCCATTGTTGTTATTACTGAATGGTAAGGGTGGGCCATTCTAAATCGAAACTAATTTTACATATTAGTAAAGACAAGATTAAATTGAGAATAGTCTGATGGGTGAAAATATGATCACTTGATGAGAGAACAGCTGTGCAGCCTGAGGCAAGGAACAGAGTGCAAGCTTTTTTTTGCTGCTTTCTCAAATCATCAATATCCTCTAGTCGCATCATGCAGCCCATATATCTTTAGATTTCTAAGACATTCTCAGGTTTGCATCATTCAGAACTAAAGCTGCCAAATAACTCTAAATCTAGTGTATAGGACCTGTTTTATAATGATCACTTTTACGCTCGACATTTCCGCTTCCTATGCGCACTCGCTCAGTAGTGGGAAAACATCCTTTCTATTTTTATTCAGCTAAGTTCAATTATATTCTTCTTACTATAAAATCATATAATATAAAATAATGGCACAGGACTTACAGTATAGGCCTATCTTGTCAGCTAAATGAACAAGCCTACAGCCTATGGCATGGAGCATAGCCAGATAACATACAGTAGGCCAACTCATATTCTGTTCTTCTTCATATCATAATGCTTCTTTAGACCTGCCTGAAATAAATCATGGATTTATTGTGATGGTGTATATTAAATGGATTTATTAGACTTTTTTTTATGTAGATGTTCCAAAGGTCGTCCATCAGTGGCTTGTATGTATGGAGACCTGGAGATGCTAAATGTGTTTATGTTAATTAACGTCAATTACCATGAGAACTGGCATGACAATAACTGGCTGACAAAATGTCATGACCGCCACAGCCCCTAGTAACAGCCATATTTACCCTGACACACCATTTGCTACAGCAAGCCATTTTTTCCTCAGGATTTCCGTAGCTAGAACAAACCAATAGTCTGTTGGCCTTTTGCCTTGTAAAAAAACAAAACAATTTAATGGGTTTTCTCTTTAACCACACGAGTAATGCCCGGTCCGATGTAGGATCTGGCTCTTCAGCGCCTGGTGTTTAGTTGTGTTGTTCGTGCTATGATCAGCGGTGTAACAGACGTGGAGCTAGGTCCTAAATCCTCTCCGTTGTTCTGTCTGTTACAAGCAGCCACCCCTTGCATCAAAGCCATCAGCCCCAGTGAAGGATGGACCACGGGAGGAGCCACAGTCATCATCATAGGAGACAACTTCTTCGATGGCCTCCAAGTCGTGTTCGGGACGATGCTTGTGTGGAGTGAGGTAAGAAGAAGCCTTTGAAATTGTCTTTGTTCCAGACTCAGTGTTCTCACGTATATGCCAGAGTCACTGTTGCATTTCAGAGCAATTAGCATTTAAAAAAACATAGATTTGAATTGTGGAAAAAGGATACATGTTAGCATGTCTCACACAGCAGTTTGTGTAAATGGAATTAGACACTTTACACAGCTGTGCTTTATACTGTTGCGTCTGTACAGTTGATCAAGCAGTCTGAAGCACGTTAGCTAATGGGCTGCTTGAGCTGCAGCTAACCCATCAACATCGGCTTTGCTGTGGAATAATCACAGGAGTAGATCAGAAGCTAGATAAACTGGAACAGTGTGGAAAACAGCCTGTAATCTGAATCCCATAGAAACCAAGAAACCAAGAAACCTCTCAGGAACGGGTAAAATAAACCATGAGGTCTCGCAAAACAATTGAATAATTAGAGGTCTGAAACATAACAAGAGTGAATTAACACTGTGATGATGGGGGGGGAACATTTTTGATGTGAACCATGGCCCTCTGGCCCTTCCTGTGCCAAACCCCAAACCCCAAACCCAACGCCCAGAACATTTACTGACTGTTTCTCTGTTGAAGAAAAGACCAAGAGAAAACCCAGAAAACCCAGAGTTGAGCAGTTCCTTCAGGGCAGTATAGCAATGTAGCAGTGTAGCAGTGTGTGGTGTGTGTAGTGTGTGTGTGTGTGTGTGTGTGGTGTGTGTGTGGTGTGTGTGTGTGTGTGTGTGTGTGTGTGTGTGTGTGTGTGTGTGTGTGTGTGTGTGTGTGTGTGTGTGTGTGTGTGTGTGTGTGTGTGTGTGTGTGTGTGTGTGTGTGTGTGTGTGTGTGGTGTGGTGTGTGTGTGTGTGTGTGTGTGCGGTGTGTGTGTGTGTGTGTGTGTGTGTGGTGGTGTGTGGGTGGGTGTGGTGTGGTGTGTGTGGTGTGTGTGTTGTGTGGTGGTGTGGTGTGTGGTGTGGTGTGTGGTGGGGTGTGTGGTGGTGTGTGTGGTGGTGTGTGTGTGTGGGTGTGTGGGTGTGTGGTTTGTGTGGTGTGGTGTGTGTGGGTGTGTGTGTGTGTGTGTGTGTGTGTGTGTGGTGTGGTGTGTGGTTGTGTGTGTTGTGTGTGGGTGGTGTGGTGTGTGTGGGGTGTGTGTGGTTGTGGTGTGTGTGTGTGTGTGTGGGGTGTGTGTGTGTGGTTGTGTGTGTGTGTGTGTGTGTGGGTGTGTGGTGTGTGGTGGTGTGTGTGTGTGGTGTGAGTGGTGTGGTTGTGCAGCTCTGATACCCAGTTGGGATGACAGGCTATTTAGACTCATTGCTGTAATTGACTGGAGCTGGCAAGCGGCCACCACACCAGCCAGAGCAGAGCAGGCAGTCAGACAGGCATCAGCCAGCACTTCACGCTGTTCGCTCACCAGCTCATGCAGGCTCACCTAGCCATCATCGTGGAAGTACCATCTGGCTACCGTCCACCCTCACTCCCCGATTGTCCACGCACCAGGCCATCCTGCGTCTCGTCACCCCTCTCTCTCTGCTTCTGTCTCTCCTCTGTCTCTGTCTTGTGCTCTCTGTGTCCTCTCTGTCACTACTGTCTGCTGCCTACCCATGTCTCTCGTGTCTCTCTCTGCCTCTCTGTCTCTGTCTTCTGCTCCTGTCTCTGTTCCTCTGCTCTCCTGGTGTCTCGTCTCCTCGCTCTCCTGTCTCTCTTGTCTCTGTCTCTCTGTCTCTCTGTCTTGCTCTCCTGTCTCTCTGTCCTCTTCTCTTCTCTCTCTTCTCTCTCTCTCTTCCTCTCTCTCGGTCTCGTCTCTCGTCTCTCTCTCTCTTCTCTCTGTCTCTCTTCTCTTCTCTCTCTCTCCGTCTTCTCTGTACTCTCCTCTCTCTCTGCTCTCCGTCCTGTCTCTCTTCTCCTCTCTCATCTCTCTCTCTCTCTCTCTCTCTCTCTCTCTGTCTCTCTTTCTCTCTGTCTCTCTTTCTCTCTGTTGTGTCTCTCACTCTCTCTCTCCCTTTCTCTCTCCCTGTCCATTTCTTCATGCTCTGCTAAGAGCTGTGGAGCGGTGGCCCACCCAGCTGTCACTATGACTCCCAGCTCTGCTCTGCTCTCTGGGCTGTAAAACGTGTGAAAGCTGCCTGGTCAGAGGTGATCCGATGGGGCCCCCCTCTCTCTCTCTGCTGCAACCCTATCCCTCGCCCGTCTAGGGGGGCAGCAACCTTATCCCTGGCCCATCTAGGGAGGCAGCTGCCAAGTCCTGTTAATCTCAAACCATTACAACACATCACATGACTCATCTCATGTCTCGCTGCGGCCACACTGTTTCCTAAGACGGAAAATAAAAAAAAAAGCTGTGCAGAGAGAAACATGTTGTAATGCAAAGGGAGAGTGTGTGTGTGTGTGTGTGTGTGTGTGTGCTTTCAGAGGGTGTTTAGCACCATGCACCAGTCCTGGCTGTGTGTGTTTGTGTTTATGTGTGTGGGGTTGTGTTTATGTGTGGTGTGATTGTGTTTGTAGTAAGGGTCACACTCTGGGACGGTCTGGGAGCCAGAGGCAGGTGGAGGCTAATCTATGGTCTTTAGCAGTCAGGGAAGGTCTGAGTGTGTGTGTGTGTGTGTGTGTGTGTGTGTGTGTGTGTGTGTGTGTGTGTGTGTGTGTGTGTGTGTGTGTGTGTGTGTGTGTGTGTGTGTGTGTGTGTGTGTGTGTGTGTGTGTGTGTGTGTGGAGTGATGAGGGAGGACAGGTCACTGTCTGTCTGACCTGGAAGCTTCTGTCTGACCTGGAAGCTTCTGTTTGATCCCAAATTGACGAGGACAGTGAGATAATCACCAGGAATTACTCTCACTCCTCGAAACCTGATCCAGGGCCAGCTAGGACCCTGGGCTCTGGTCAAAAGTAGTGCACTATATAGGGAATAGGGTGCAATATGGGATGCATGTTTAACCCCTGCTGCAGGAGTAGGCCAGAGGGCATGAAGGCAGCGGGATCATGAAACAACAGTGTAGTGTGCTGTGTAAAGAGAGTTATATATACATTAAGACATGAATGGTTCTAAGGGGACTACAATGGGAACCATCATCAGACTAAGGGGACTACAATGGGAACCATCATCAGACTAAGGGGACTACAATGGGAACCACCTTCAGACTAAGGGGACTACAGTGGGAACCATCATCAGACTAAGGGGACTACAATGGGAACCATCATCAGACTAAGGGGACTACAATGGGAACCATCATCAGACTAAGGGGACTACAATGGGAACCATCATCAGACTAAGGGGACTACAATGGGAACCATCATCAGACTAAGGGGACTACAATGGGAACCATCATCAGACTAATGGGGACTACAATGGGAACCATCATCAGACTAAGGGGACTACAATGGGAACCATCATCAGACTAAGGGGACTACAATGGGAACCATCATCAGACTAAGGGGAACTACAATGGGAACCATCATCAGACTAAGGGGACTACAATGGGAACCATCATCAGACTAAGGGGACTATAGTGGGAACCATCATCAGACTAAGGGGACTACAGTGGGAACCATCATCAGACTAAGAGGACTACAATGGGAACCATCATCAGACTAAGGGGACTACAATGGGAACCATCATCAGACTAAGGGGACTACAATGGGAACCATCATCAGACTAAGGGAACTACAATGGGAACCATCATCAGACTAAGGGGACTACAATGGGAACCATCATCAGACTAAGGGGACTACAATGGGAACCATCATCAGACTAAGGGGACTACAATGGGAACCATCATCAGACTAAGGGACTGCTCTCCTTGTCAATAATGAGACAGCATAACTCTGAGGTGTTATGAGTAACACAGTATTTATTGATAAATGCATTATTTTTTAATGCAGTATTAATTAACGGTAGTTGAAATAATATAACACATTGCTTTAATTGCTGTTTTCTCTTTGACCAATGCTCAGAGGTGCATTTTTGTTCTAATTTTTACACTTTAATATTCATCCCATAAAAGCTTTGGAATTATTCAATGCTTTTTTTATTTTCCTAATTTGTGTCCTAATAATAACAAATTTTTTCAGTTGTAATTAATTCTGAAACAGCCTTTTTGAACTTGATATCTAAAGAGGTTTCTGTAGTTTAGGCATGCAGGGAATATTATTTTGGATAAGTAAATGTATCTAATTGAATGGCCGTCTAGCTATTTAACAAACAATAGTTTGGATGAAATGGATGTTAACAATCCTCTCAGCATGATTCTAGAATCGGAACAGCTCATTTAGAATTTAGAAGGTTCACACTGACCACCCTGCTGCGCCTTTTAAGTGACACGCCCACTCACCAGGAAGGAAAGGAATTATCACAAATGACTGGGAGTCGACATTGGCTCTCCGGTGAGAGCGTACAGTGAGAGGTTCAGTATGGCATGTTTATGTGGAGTACTTTCCCTGTTTGAGAACAGATGTGAGCAGTGAAAGGAAAGATATTCTCTGTCATCTGCTGTAGACCCTGTGCTGAAGAGAGGGACACTTAACAATACATTACTCAACTGTGACTCAATGAGGCCTCATGTTTCTACTGGAAAGGTCACGTTACATTACAGGATCAATGAAACTGATCGGCTCACTATGTAGTACAGAGAAAAATCCACCCTCAACCCTACCACATTCTCTACAGTACATGTGGTAGTCGTTTGCTTAAAGTGGCCCATTCTTGGCTAGCATCCACCTCCACAATGCCAACTCCACAATTCACCAACACAGAGGTGTTTCACAGGTCTTTGGTGTTCATTGAGATGTGTCTGTAGCGTCAACAGCATCAGTAAGTCTGCTGGTTTAAAGAGAGAGTCAATCATTATTTTCCATCACAGCCGACGGGCTGTCTCAGAGGTCATCGCTCTTTAAAAAAAATGACTTCGTCTTCGTACTCGAAGCTGAAAATGTTGCCCCTTAATTGCCTCCCACCCTGCCTCTCTCTCTCCCTCTCTCAGTGCCTCGCAGTGTTGCGCTGCTGGGTCAAGTGGTGTTGGATTTAAAACGAAG